CAAACCGTTTTTATACTGGGCTCCGAAGTGTGTTTCTTGGGAGCTTCGCCGACTCGTTTATCGGGAAAAAAAGGGGCGCTTGTGGAAACGCCCTGGTACGCTAATCATAGGACGCAATCCAAAAAACGCCTAGCAAATCGAAAATGAATTCAATCGATGACTACTAGACAGTAGACAAATTTATTTACAGAAAAAAAGTGCGCGAACTAAAAATGGCTAGGGCTAGTTAGCTGTAGATGCCGTCAAAAGAGGAAAGCGATAAAATGGGGTGGGAAAAGAGTGGGCAGAGCTTATGATTACGCATTTGGTAAAGTCATGGGATGACAGAAATTGGCCTCCCACACAAAGTAACGACTGCTGGAAAAGGTTATCAACTTTGCGCGGCGGAAGAGAATGATGGGGTAGATAAGTCGGCCCCGTTGTACTTTTAAATTCAGCCGTTGGGTGGGGTAGCCTCCGCTTTTTTTGGTTTGCGTCAGAGAATGGACGATGACAGGCACTGGAGGGTATAAAACTTCAACTGGGTGTCTTTCTGTCTCGGAAGAATTGCCCTTATTCCATCACCGAAAACTGTGCAGGCCGTTGTACTTACTGTCGCGGTTAGGAATCTCAATAGGCAAGGACTTCTTGTTGTACAAGCTCGCTCATTCCGCCTACAGGATCTCTTGTATCTTATTTCCTTTCTGCTAGCACCCTAACGGGCTAGGGCACCGAAATCGCCTGCTATAGTACAGATCTTCATCCCGAAGTGGAGTGTGCGAGGGGGTAAACCAGTGGGAAGTAGGGCGCCGTCATTTCGATTAATGGTTCTTCCAGTGAAAGTGGGCCGGTCTTTGTACCCACGGAAACAGAGGCAGCATTAAGGGCTGTAATTTAGAAGTGGCTTCGATGAAAGGCTTGGCTTTGTGGTGTGGCCTGCACGTTTATTAGACCCCCAGCCGCCTGGAGCATGCTAAAGGCGCAAGTTTATTCGGGCGAAAAGACTGGCATGAATCATGCGGACCAACACATCACAGACGCCTGTGTGCGGGGACTGATGAAAGCGCCGCCTTAACGAATCACTTTCCCTCCAGTCTTAGGCAGCAGGAAGGAAGTAACCGGAGCTTTTTCCCTCTGTGAAAACAATGCAATGACCGTGTATGCATGCAGAAAAGGCGATCGAGTAGTAAAAAGGGAATACATGTTTTTCCGATACCACCGTTCCAGCTTCACTCTGTGGACATATCCTAATGACGAAAATACCGACTGGATAATAGAAATCCAAGCTGCAGATGTTTTGGCAAACTGGGTATGGATCGTGGGGCTGAGAATCCGTTCTCCGACTATGATCTGAGAGTAGTAAACGCACACAGAAACAGACAGGTGGATTCCAAAAGCTTTCTTTGTGGTGGACGCGTATGTGGTTCAGGTGTCGTTGTCGAATAATACAGTGGAGCCTCGGTTAACGAGTTTATTTCGCCGCTGCAACGAACTCTTCGTGTGAAATGCTCGTCTTGCGAAAGGAAAGAGCTCGTAACCAATCAAACTTAAGCAGTTCACTGATTGGCTGCAGGTTACCGAGGGTCCCCGCCCTGGCAGCAAGACTCAAAGGCGGACACAGGCACACACATGCACTGACAGCACGTTAACTGAGCGGAGGCTCGGCAATCGAAAGACAATTTTTGTGAGTGACTCACTTGTTACCTAAAAGGCTCGTAGATGGGGCTGCTGTTCGGCACCCGAGGTTCCAGCGTACTTAAAATGTGTACTTAGCAAACACACTGCTCTGTCTAAACTGTTCACGTATATAGAAACACGACCTTCCCCAGCCACAAAAATTTTGCCCGGCAACTCGGTAGTACCAGTCTGTTACCGAATATGAAATGCCCTGTAAAGTAACGGTAACAAACTATCATGGCACACCGAGTAAAGTTCCCAGGCTTTCTGGGAACCACAGCAGACGCGTCTTCGACCGCGTTCCCACCCGCC